TTTCCTATTTCAGCACTCCTCTCACGTGGTATACTCGCAACCTAATCCTGTCAGTCATTCCACGCATAAAAATTAGCAAATCGGTCTCAACTTTTCACGGCTCTTGGCACAATTAGCGGTTTGATTGCATAAGCACCGACTACCTCAGAAGTTTCTTTCACACCACAATGAATAATCACAATCAAAACGAAGAAAAACAGTTTCAAAGATCAGAGGTCAGTGCAAATATTTGTGTTTGTGTAACAAATGACCCCCAATTCTAATTACCTTGGCGTGCCTTCGGTTCCTTTATATTTGAACAATACGCAAAAAATTGCAACACGCCCGTTTCAAAATCCTGGAGATTAGATGCGACATAACCCTGGTAAACAGTGACACTGACGGTAACTCTTGGTTTTGCTTGATTTAACCTCCTTTTCCCCTGTTACTCATTGTAGGAGAGATGTGCTGAAATGCTGAAAAAATTGCGAATGGCAAGGACTTGACTGTCATAAAAGCACTCAACTGAATCATCTGGTCTTGACAAATCAAGCAAAAAGTCAAAACGAATTAAAACCAGAAAATTAATTTAAGGAAGAGAGAAACTGGCTATCAATTAGGACATTATTATTCAACAGGTGCTAGGAATACAAGACTATTTTTTAGTGAACACACTACTTGTCCCATATGTTTATTAATTTCGTGTTTGAATATTTATAAAAGGCGTATACATATCTTCTTAATAAATTATTTATAACAAGTAGGGAGTAAAGCATTAATTTTTATAAACTTGAAATATTGGGAGCACGTGGCTTGTTATTTGTTAATCGAGAAAAATTCTAACATTGTGTTTCCATTATTCCTTTTAACAAAATTAAGCAGTGTCTGTAAATAAAGACACCGTAATTTTTCTAAATTGCTTATTTTTGCTAATGAAGAACCTGAAATAACGGTTTTTATCTCCAGAATTTATCATGTAATAAATTCTGGAGTGACTGAATTAGTCCGAAATATAACGGAGCTAAGAACTTGATTATTTTGAGTAATAAATAAATAAATTGTAATCAGTTGTGACAGTTGATTTGGCTTAAAAACCAACGAAAACAAATATTGCATTTGCGTCTGATAATTTATATCGGCAATAAAACTGAATAAATAATGGAAATGAAAAATATAAATAATTTACCTAGTAATGATTTATAGTCAGTGACAAGCCGTTTAATCGCTGGATTTCATCATGGTATTGAATTGATGGGTTTTTACCATGAATCACCCACACGAGGGTAAAATTTATGAATTAAAAATCAAAAAAAAACCATTTGGTTTCACGCTAATCACAAAAATTATATGAATTACGACGTGTGAGAACGAAATGTCTTAATAAAAAATGGTGTCATTAGAGGTTACAAAAGGCAATTTCATCTATGAAAAAATTATTTATTATTGTGACTGTTAATTAGTTTTAGGAAACATTTGTCCAGCGACACCGAAACAGCTTTCAACACATTTTAATTTATTGGACGGAATTTTTGTCATGGAAAAATTATACAATCGATGCTTTATTAGCTTGTCCATCTAATTATCGAGGAAACAAAATAATTTAGCTGTGTTTGAATTAAATTCAAGTTTGTAACCAGTTAGACGACTCAATGAAATAAATAACGACAAATTGAAATTGCATGTTTTATTAATAATATAATTACATTTAAAAAAATACAAATATACAGATTAAATATTGCATTACACCAAATTTACAATACACACCATTTCGTTGGTCCCAATATGTACAATTGTAAAAATTGACTAAAATGGCCGCTTTGCGAGCACAATTTTCTACACTAAACAAACATAGAGAAACTAGCTTGGTAACCATTGTTGACTAAAATAATCTAATAAACATTTCGTTAAATTTATGGCTTATAGTTTGAACTCATTGCAAGTCTTTCGCGATAAAATTGTACAAAAAAAAAACAAACAAATAATTTACAATTCGATCGACTAATCTACATAGATACAAACTAAAGGTAACTAAAACGCAATTGCACTTAAATAATTAAACTCTCTATAGGAACACAACAATAAAATTGCAGTTTGGAGAAAAATAGGATGATTTACATTAGTTTCAACTTATTCTTAGGTTAGGTCGAGTGCAGTTACATTAGTTGGGTGCACACTTACGAAAATATAATAAAATAATTAAAAAAGGAACAAATTGTTGTTAAATACTGATTTAAAAATCGGCGGAGAGATCACTACAATCACTAAACGAGACTCCGTGGAGCTCGCAGGAACGTCCAATTTGAAACCCCAACCCTTACAAATTGCACTTTAGTAAGTAGTGTAGGAACAGGTTACAGGCCGTGGAATCTGATAGATGCTAAATAAAAGTTATTTAATCCGGTTTGGTTCTTATCGCTTTGTACGATCGCATTCTGCATTCGCCTACGAAGATTGATCTCGGTAGGCATGTGTTATCTGACATTTGCGCATCGGAGGCCCATCCCTCGCAGGAATGTGTAACTTTAAACGGTGGGCCTTCGAGTTCAAGGATTCGGAGCATGACAACGCCTTATTCCAAATGTCAATGCAACGAAAAATGGGAAAATTTTGCACCTTTTGCGACCTTTGAAGACATTACACTGTCATTATTATTATTTAAGGTGATGTGACATTATAATATCACTTGCAGGATTGGAAATCTTGCGATTTCGCTGAGAAATGTTCAGATTGTCGCATTATCAAATTGCACACTTGTCGGACCGGTTTTCTAAAGGTGAGACAATAGTAAAACTATAAAATAATTGAAATTCTGTCAAGAATGAAAAAAAATAGAACGACAAAGTAATGATATCACGGTGAAAAGCTCGGATTTTTAGAGCTTTTGAAAAGTTTGTAAATTAATCTAAATTAGGCAAAAAAAGAAATGAAAAGTTAATGACTGCGTTTATTTATGAAACTACGAACTGGATGAAAATGTCAGGAGATACGAAGACTGGCATAAATTTGTATTTTTATGACTCTCCGTTTATTAGAATTCGAGTGAGCAGCTACCGTGAAGTGGGGTGATTCTAACGCTAGATGAGGCGAGAAATGTGTCTAAATTCCGCTATTTTGAAACAAATGTGAGATCAAATATTAATTCCGCGATAAGCGCTAGAGTTAATCTGCGTGAAATAGCTACAACAATTATGTTAATTTTTCAGTTAACATAACCACGACTAAGATTTATGTTACTTTTAAAAAAGCAAAGTTTCTCGCGATGCGTAGTGATAAAAGTGAAACTGTCGTCATTAATTAACAGAAAAATTATTAAAATATTATTTATAGTAAAAGAAAGTTGCTCTAATTTGATGAAAGGCGATCTCTAAACCGTCTAAAAACAAAGCCGCAAACACACTATTTAAATACCGGGCGTTGGCTGCAGATCGCACCGAATCTACAAGAATGAATAAATTAACATTTTAAGCGCTAGCGGCGCTTTACTACGAGAAAATTAATTTCGACTTGAACGAAAACCGAAAAAACGCATTCATTTAAATAAATACACTGAAATTCCGAGATCCAAGGACTACCGTGTTGAAATTTTTACCATTAGTCATTCAGTGGCGTACCGTTAGGGCGGCGGAGATTTTTTTCGAATCAAGTCGTGCGTGTGAGATGGCGAAATCGGAGGTTAGATGTAATCTTGATACTGATATATGATGTCATCGAAAATGGGCAAAGAAGAGGAGAAAAAGATGTGCTGAAGTAAAAGTGTGAGGGATTTAAGTTGGGCACTTTCACCGATTAAGTGTCAAAAATTAATTAAAACAGGAAACATAAATCAAACGCTGTTCCGTTACGGAATTGAGTTTGATCGTTAAACTGAGCAATTCCAACAATGATGACAAGAAAAAATATAGAGTTGGAGATACTCGAGTAAAGACTTTTTTAAGCAGAACAAAGCATTTGGTGTGGAAAATGCCTCAACAATGTTTAATTTAAAAAAAAGTTAGTAAAAAAAGTGAAGAAAACATAAGAAAATTAAATAGAAGAATGATGAAAAAAGAATGAACTGAAATGTTAGCAATTCTCTGTAAGTAAAGTAAGTCTTCAAAGGACAAGGCAAAAAAATGTTAAAATGTAAAGAAAAGTGTCGAAAAATAGAAAAGCGAGAAACAAAACGTTGGATATTTTATGATTTAGTATACATGCAGAAAGTAATAAATAAACAAAATTTAAAATAAGAGCAAGACCAGTAAAAGAATAGGCGTAAATTAACAAAAAATATCTAAAAGATCTAAAAGTAATCTAAAAGTAAATACATATTAAAGTTTAGAAAATGGAAAAGAGCTAATTTGTACTGAAAAGAAAATAAACAATGATTAATGAACAAAAGAAGAGAAACAGATTAAAAAATACAATAGAATAGAGCAACATGGAAAAAGAAGGTTTTAAAGTGTAAGTTAAAAAAATAAAATCAGTACTGACAAAAATCAATCAAAATAGCAATACTAATGTAAGCTTACATTAAAGCTTTTGATTGTATTTTCCCACAGAAAAATTATTATTGTTATATGTATTGACAATATTAAATAAATTTTACTAATGTTGTTAAATTTTCGGTTGTCACATAGTTATTGTTACAAGTACTTAAAATACAGTTTTTGCGGACGAATCGACAAAAAACGTTTTAGGTAGGTATGTGTTACAAACAACTTTTTTGTTAAAGCTCCCAAAAATAATGTCATTAGAGCAAAAATTTTATGAAAATAATTGGCGTCAAATTTTAATCCCCATGCCACTATATTAATGAGAGTGATTTTTTGTGCACAAAAACTGTATGTACTAGTTGAAACTGTATGTACTAGTTGGTTCCCAAATTAAAAAAAAGACTCATATTGAAGACTCAAATGTGTTCGAAAAATAGCTATTTTTTAGAGCGAATACTAAAAATTATGTTTTGGTTACCCAATGGATTAAATAAAATGATATTTATCCTCGTGTGAAATCAAATTATTTATAATAAAATTATTTAATTTATTCAATCTTTTGACAAAATAATTGAGTGATAAAATAAAAACGACATTTATTTATATACAAAATTCTTGAAATCTGATATTTTTTGATTAAAATGTGACTCGTCAAGGTCCTATTTTTATTTTTTACCGTACGTTTCAATTGTTTAACCGGTTTTAAGATTTCTTAAATACATATTATACATTTTTTTTATTTTGATGAATAATCTGTAACTTCCGTCTTTGGTTTCTGGTATCATTATTTTTATATTGGCAATAAAATTTATTAAAGCTTAAAGACAAAAATTTAATAGATGCGTAAAAAGCAAAAAAAAAGAACTGTGAAAAAAAAGTGCAAAGAAAACAAGGTGTGCAAATGCTGGTAGAACCGTTATGTCTAGGAGTTACAAAAGAAATGAATCTGACCTTTGAAAAAATTTGCGAGCGGTTAACGTAGACAAACTCAATTAGTCATTCAAAGTAAGAAAAATGTCTTCTGCTAGAAATTTGTAAGTATAAAAGCGCCCCAACAAAAGCATAATTAATGGTCCCATGTAATCCACGGTAGAATTTTTATGGTAATAGGCATGAAGAATGATGAAGTAAAATCAGCTTAGAAAACATTAGCGATAACGACAGCATTATGAATGATAGTATTGTGCAAACCCAACATCGGCAATTAAATATGAATACATCGCTGTGTTTTTCTTCCCTGTGCTAATATCGATCAAGAGAGTAATCACCGACGACATGAAGTATCTCCAAAGGTTAAACAAATAAATTGTTTGTGCTGACGTGTCATTAACGATGATACCGAGCGCACAGTCCGCACTTGTCAATCGTGTAAATTAAATCAGAACCGTTTCGTAATTTATTGGCTCGGTGTAAGCGGCCGGTTATTCTTTCAAAACGGATTTATCTATGGAAGATCTGTTCGGAGCATATCGTTTACGGAGTCGGTTAAAGAGATGCCTTCAGGCTTGGACGCTGTTAGTTCCACCCACTTCCTTGCCGAGAAACTGAACTAGTTTGAATTTTATTTTACTCCGAGGTACTAATCTCAAGATGACCTCTTAGAAAATGCAGGAGCAGATGGTCGGCTTGCAATGCGAAAAGTAATGAAGGGTTTGTGGCCGCGAGGTGATCAATATTTGTCAAAAATGAACAAAGAGAAAGCTAATTTTAACGCCTTAATTAGTGTAAACAAACAGCTGTTAAGTGAAGAAAAAAAAGCGAGGAAGAATAACAGACAGAAGATGTAAATGTACAGAAAAGAAAAGAAGAGATAATGTAATAAATATTTTTGGCGAATTTTGAGATGCAAAGTCTGAAGTCGCGATAGACCCTGCCGGCGGGTCTAGCTCTATTTTTAAATCGAGGAAGAACCGTTGAAAAGCACCATGTTTGGCCCAGAGCTATAAATATAGACATTTATTTGATTAAAGCTATTATCTCGATTCAGAATTGTTGTAGCAACACGAGGAACATGTCCGAGATTATTGAAGATTAGAACCGCTCCAGGCCCGTATTAAAATGATCGTCGTTGACTGCGTAACGTTATTTCAGTCTACGTCAATAATTCCATATTTTCCCCTCGTAAATCTCGAATTGGCAAAAACATCAAAATTTATGGAATATGAGACGACTGGTACTTTGTGAAGCATTCTTGACATCCGTTCCCATCCCGATACGCATCTTTCCAATAACTCGTTTTATTAATAAAAAAGCAGAAATACTTATTTTCAAGCCGTTCCGATTAAATTTTCCGGAAGAGACCGGAGTCAAAATCGTTCACTTTCAGCTCGTTACTCGGAATCAATCAATTAAAAAAATCGTGTGATTTACTTTAAAATATTCCGAGGCGAGTAATTTGTGTCTCAACTATCACTCTTAATTGCCTACATTTATGGCTAATTCTGCGTTAAAAGCGCTGTTAATTTCCGTTCTTAATTAAAGCGACTGGTTGACGCTGCAGGTTTTGAATTCCTGAAACGGCTTTATTTGGTGATGGGATGTTTCCTGATCGATTTTCCGAAAATCGAGACCAAATGCACCCTCAGGTGAAGCGAGATTGATGGTTCGGTGAAAATACCGATTCTGCAACCAGATGATTGATTATAACGCGAAAATATCAGCAAGATATATTTCAGATCTAACGGTATTAAAATTTTTGGAGAAAGTCCGGTGATGCAAGTGGTCACAATAAACCACGATTTTTATACGTGAATTTGTTCCAATTAAGTAAAGTACTTTTCTCATATTTCTCCGTTAATTGCCTTCCACGTGTCCCAGCCGGTCATGATTATGATGTTGTGACACATCCTGTGAGAAAATTATCAATTCAGCACCGTTTGCGTGTTGGAGCGGCTTTTATCAGCTCCCGTTAATAAATTTCGGAGGTCGTTCCTGCGGAGCACCCAAACAAATTAGGATATAAAAGATTTTTAATTGCTCTCTCGAAAATTGCGTAATAACGTGAACAACAATTTGGTTTTATAATATAATCACAATCTGAGTGGAGTACCACCTGCTGAGCTGCCGATCGACACGACCGACTCGTTTTTATTCAATTTGTACCAAATTCAGATTTGAAAATTTTGAAAAGGAAATCACGTATCACAAGGTTACCTAAAATCAGGTATTGTTATTGTTAGAGATATCTTCTTCTGATTTTGTGCTTTCTTCACTTTTTTCTTGCGGTTTCTCTTCTTCGTCTTTTTCCGAACTGCTCGATGACCTCGACGAGAAATTATCTTTGTCCGAAAAGTAAGAAGAGTCTCGTTTGGCATCATCGGGACTCTTCTCTTGACTCGTTTTGGCATCGAAAAGTTTTGGTGGTAAAGTAATTGGAAAGTTTGGCATCTGTTTTGGTGGCTGTAAGTGTTGAAGAAGTCGTCCGTCTGTAACTTTTCCCATAAAACTCCTAATTTCTTCAAAGTACGATTCTTCACTTAAGTTTCTCGACGCCATGGTTCGCCTTTGAAGATTCCGTTCATCAAGTATCGTAGGTCCATCAGCTTCGTGTTTCTTCAAATGTCGATCGAGGTTAGTTTGTTGACCGAAACACCTCTCACAGAGAGGACATTTGAACGGTTTTTCTTTGTTGTGGATATTTCTTACGTGTCTTTGCAGATTACTCGAAATACTAAAAGAGCGTTCACAGTATCGACATTTGTAGGGTTGTTCCCCCGTATGAGTCCTTAAATGTCTTGTCAAATTGGCCGATCGAGGGAAAACTTTACCACAGAACTTACAAGCGTATCTGTCTTTCATTTTACCACCTGCTGTGTCGTAAACTTTAGGCGTTTGAGGCGTCGGATTCCTCAACATGTCAAAAGGAACTTGATTCACCGGAGGACTCAACATTGAGGGACTTAGGAAAGGGTACCTTTGGGGGTACCCCGGAGGGGAACTAGGGTACGGTAAAGGCAACCTCGGGACTTTATCCCCCTGCGCCCGATACATCGCTTCGAGCATCATGGGATGGATGGGTTGCGGCGGAAACAGCATTCCGGGATATCCGGGAATCTGCGGACTGAACGTTTTTGGTACGGTGTGATTGGGACTGCTGCGATCGTCCACGATAACATCGTCTTTATCACTATTCACACTAACAGCCGGCGAGATTAGGTTCCTGTTTTCGTCTTCGACTTGCCTCCGGATGATCATCAGCGAGAGTTTCTTGTGCTCGACGCGGAGGTCGAGAGGTTGGTCGTCACCGTCTTGGGGGCCTGGAGGCGGCCGGCCCGCGGGAGACATGTGGGGGCCCGGCGAGCGCGTGTTCCGGGACAGGTCGAAGGGCATCTCGTCTCCTGGAGGAACTCGGATAGAGAGAGGGTAGACGGCCGCTTGCTTGGGCGAGCTGTGGCCACCAGAAGCCACCAGCATCTTGCGAGGTGAAGAGTCTTTTTCGCGCATGGTGAGAGGGAGAGTCAAGGGCAGCGGGGGCAAATACCGGAGCCAAGGGAGGCCCGAGTCTACCACACTCATGGGAATTCAGGAGATGTATCTGCAACAAAAAGATTTCGTCAAATTTTAGCATCGCTTTTTTCGAATTGGCAAAGCTGGGTGTGCACAAGCATAGCCTCTGGCCGTCACGTCTTTCCATTATAATTAATGGAAGACGGGCATCGATACGAGCGCCGCATCCATCAAGTTAGCGGTGCTACCATTGCCGACCAACAAGCCATGTCTTTACTTTATGTACTAGGAAATTTGATCACAGGACTTGTTCGCCATTCATTTATTCTTGTTGGTCACTCTGATTATATCGTTAACGCAAGTAATTATGCGGATAGAAAGCTCGAATTGACGCAAAAAATCAGATAAATTAGTTCACATTTGTACGCAGATTAATTAATTTGAAATTAAACGCTTGGATTTAATTTATAGTTTGCTACGTTCCCGAAAAATTAAACTGGATTTAGTGACGTGTCAGAAATAATCACGGTTTAAAATCGGCGATGATTTAGTTGGGATTTAGTAGAGAAATCGAGAATCGAAACGATTTATGTGGACCATAAATTTTCGAAAATCCTGGTGAAGTTTTAACACCATGACGGCTTTACAACACTTCAAAAGATGACCAGTCGGTAGGATTTATCTTTATTTCTAATCTGACTGGGGAATAAGACTAACGAGGCAATAAAATTTTACTCAAAATTAATAAAGTATTAACTGTACGAAAATTAACACGCAACACTTTTAAACAAATAAACAAGTAGGAGGTAATTTATTACAACACATTCACATTATTTCCCACAGGGTGTCCTTTCTAAGATTTTGCTCGGATTTTGTTCATTGTTCCATATTGTCATGGTATAAAAAACATTTCACAATTTACAATCGTTAAGTTGTTAATAACATCCTAGTAACATTAGCTGTTAAGAAGTTTAAACAGTGCGTCTTTCTTTAATGTCCAGGTTTTTACCAGTTTTGAAAATTGTTTTTTTTAATAATAAGGTAATTTAGTTCGACGAAAAACGCTGTATGTACCACGTGCTGTTAAGAACCGTAACAACCCGCTTCCTCGGTCGTTATGGTCTTCTTAAAAGTCCTGAATACGCAATTGCATTATTTGGAGTGAGTAGTGGCTCGTGGTTACATGGGGGCCATTTCATGGGTACAAAAATGTAATTCCAATTATTTTTGTTTGTAAATGTGATTAATTTGGGATTTCTTTCGGAATTCGTCGAGTAACCCGCTCGGCGGCATGTCAGTGACAAACCTGAATTTTGCAAGTGGCGTTTCGAAGATGTACGATCCTTCATTAAGTTATTCAACAATTTTAATCGAAAGAATTCGTATTTTTAGCCTCGTCTTATTTGCATTTCTGCCGACAATTAAATTGCGTTATCTCCGGACGTGCGTCTAACGGGTCCCGCCAATTTGTCTATGTAGGTCTATGGTAGTCACGACTTCGGTATATTGGCCGTTCAGCCACCAGCGCTGGGTGTGGGTGCTTCGACAGTAGGATTTATGTTCGACTTCCGTGTGTTACACATCGAGGGCGAATTTTTCGCCCGAGTCGGTCCTGGTTTTTTCTCGACGTGATGGCTTTATCCGCGCGTTCGTACGACATGTAAACGCGCTGTTCCTGAGACACTATAGTGTTGTTATCTGGCACATTATGTCTCCTGCGTCACGTCCGAGAGATATGTTCGCCACAAGAAGCTTTATTTTATTGTTGCCGACTAAATCTCTGATAATAATGGAAAAGTCTGAGAACGAGGCGACGCATTGTCTCCAGAGACGTTTTCGCACTGTGGAAACTGAAAACTTTATTGGCATCCTGTACGAGTTTCCCACTAAGAAAGTGATTGAGCCGGACTAAAGATTCGGGTGTGGTCCAGCTAATTATACGACGATACACGTGAAAAAACGTCATTGAGGTGACTATTAATTTAGAACGAGGCTTGTTTACATTTCGGTAATAAGTTTGGTAATGTAGACTATAATTTGGAGCGGCGAGACGGAACCTTTGTGGGATTTCGATCACCATCAAGGATCTTGTCAATTTATTAACAAGTAGACGTAAAACAAAAAAATTGCACTGGAATTACGTAAGTCTCAATATATAAACTTGTTTTTGTAGCATCTCGATGAAATATACCACGGAGAAGACAAGGCGACAAGGATTCATAAATAATTTGTGAATTTCCATTCACAATCTTTAAGCGTTTGCCAATGAATTAACTTTTGCTTTAAAACGAATGATGTTCTGATAGAACAACAACTAAGTTTCATTCTTGTATTTTTTTTTGTGGTCGCTAAGCTTGTTCTATTTATTTTGTAAATGTTGTTAATGTTATGAGCCAAAGTTTTGATGTGTAAGAATAGCGTTCCTGAAAGAAATCGTGTAAGAAAAACCTTAATTGGATCTTGATATATGTTTCGCCGCATGAAGTTTACCATTAATTTATCATCAGCGTCGATGATGCCAACCACGTCTTGTGAAACACGTGTCGAGTTTCGATTACACTCTATTCCGACATGTGAGAGTAATTTTTTCCGTGGTTAAATCTCGCAGTTTGAAAGATTCCAACTTCCTCCGAAGACTTTTACAAATTTTTTGCTCCCGACTTTCGCAAAGATTCGCTCCTCTTATTTATCAAATCATCGTGATTTGTTGCATCTGAGGCGTGTCTTGTATGGTTTCTTCATATTATTTGTATAAACCGCGATTGCTGCAATGTCCTGAAGGCGCTGAAAACGAGTCCGCACATTTTTCAAACTACTCTCGCCCATCAATATAAATAATTGAAGTGCCAATAATTTATCTCAGGTCTATTGTTACACCGGTGATCTAAGATTGCGGCAGTGAACGTCTTTTATGCGTGCCGCGGCGATATCGACGCTCGATAAGGACACAAACTCGAATAATTCAGTCGCGAAATGTTGTGATTTGGGAAACACTGGAGACGTGTCGGAATCAAACCTTGCTCAGGAATCTCATCACTAATTGACGTGTTGGCCGTATAAGAACCGGCACTAAGTTATCGTCTCCTTCGTAGGAAACTAAAGTGGATACTAAATCTAAGGAAGAACCAATAAGCACAGTTACGCCTTCTAATTGCGCTTTTTTACGCTTGCTGCGCAGAATAGCGATCGTAATCTAGTTTACGCGTTACATGCACTTTGGGGAAAAAAATCTAACGAAGTCTATCTTTCGTCGCAGGACTACAAATGACTGTTTATAGCGTTCTTTACGATATTGTTATAGTTGTGAAAAACGCCGAGCGAGCGCTTAAACTTTAATTGTTCTTAATATTATAGAAGGAATTGGATATTACGACACTTTTTATGAGCCGACGAGCACTAACGCAATTACTTTTAATTCATAGGGGAAAGTCGGAGATGCTGGACATGCTTCTCGGCCACAATTAACAGATTTATCTCGTTTAGCCTTTTTAGGTGAAAGAATACCTACATTTTCTTCTCAGTTAAGTACCTATGTATATAATAAAAGTATACAGGAGCACCAAAATAATTTATTTTCCTATTTTAAAACTCTGTAAAATTACCCAGGATTTCGAAATGTCACCTAATTCGGTTTTTATTAAACCGCAAGCACGTTATAAACAATTTATAAACAGTAATTAATAAGTTATTATAACAAGAAAAAATAAAATTTCGTTTTATCAAAACATCTCAGATGATGTAAAAATGTTTGAATTTCAAAAGAGGAAAGTGTATATCTTTTCCTCAGAGAGGAAAAACACTTTTCTTCAGTGTAATACATATAATTTTTCTTACGATCCAGCAAAAAAAACTTTAAAACTAGCAATTTCTCTTAATATTCCAGTTTCGCTATTAAATCTAGCAGTGTGATTTTTCGTTTTTATGGAGGAGGTAAAATTTTGACCTTCTTGAGAGGTTACATATACAGGGTGAATATAAAGTATGGAACCAAGCGGTTTTTTTAACCATGTGTCTCCCGAAAAAAATAATAAATTAAAGTAATATAAAAAAATATGATCGGAACAAAATTTTGCTTTGTTTTTGAGTCAGTTTGAGTTTAATTAAACATTCGAAAAATTTTATTTTTGCTAAAACACACATCTTTATAGTAGGTATCTACTTTATCATTCATCAATTAGTTTTTTCAAAAAATAAATAGTTTAAGAAAAAAACGTTTGGTTCCATTTTTTTTATTCACCTGATAGGTATTTTTATTTGTCAGATGAGTGATTAAAATTTTTACCTCCCTGGGAGGTAATTGGCCACTTTTCTTTTTGAAATTAGGGTGGAAAAACTTATTTTCTGTTGGAGTAGTAGAATAATTGGTTAAGTTAGGTAATAACAAACAAGCCAAGTTTTTGGGAGAAAAACAATAAAAAAATAATTCATTAATTAAAGACGTACATTTCTTTAAGTGGATACAAAACTATAATAAACAGCCAGGCCGGATAAGTACGCACTATTTTGTTCTAACTTTTACATTTCATTCAACTTTCGACAACAAAGCTCATTGATCAATCCAACCGTTGAAGAAAGTTGCATTATTCCATGATTTACATGTGCTTCTCGCTTCATCTCAAGGCAATTACATCCCGCCGTTGCAAAAGTTTGGATTTCGTTCTTGCGACAAAAATCAATTTTATTTGCTCTATTTCGTCCAGTGTGTAAAGAATTCACATGTCCGCCGGCAAAGAAAGTCATGCCACTCTAATAATTATGTGATAAACTACGATTTCGATCACTGTAATAATGACATCTTATACGTTTATTCCACGTGCCGAAGACTGTGGGCGATCCAAACAAATCCTTTCACTCTCGCCTTTTACAGAACACGCCGTGTCTGAAGGAGATGCCCGATAAAACGGTTATTTATTTCGGAGACCGGACTTTCCGGGATACGGGGATGAGAGTGATTTATTTCGACGATTTGAATCACAATGCTGAGCTGGCATATTGACTCGGTGGGTTATTAATTTCGGTAAATTACGTGACTATTATAATCGAATGGCTATTTTTAATCGAGGTTTAAACATATAAATTGACCCCAAA